GCCGATTAACTCTATAGTGTGTGGTATTTTGCGCTACATCATTAGAACTCCGCCAAATGTAATGCCTGCGCTGCGTTTGGAGGCCAGTCTAGAAGGCTTCTTAAATCATTGTCTAAAAACAATTGTCTGCTTCGTTTTCACTATCAATGACAATGGATAATTTCACAGCTAACGCCCATAATCTATGAAGTGGCTCTTAACTGCCGACGGCGATTTCCACTTTCATGTACTTTTATTGTCTATAAAGTGGAGTTTTCGGCGCATGTTAGTGCAAACAGATATAACGATTGTTTAAGAGGATGCATTTGGGGAAAATCCCAGGTTTTGAGCCTCATCTGGGAAGAAATTAGTATCAGGCAATAGTACTCCACGGCACTTTTGAAAATTTTCACATTTGATCTCCGAAAGCTCATAAATAAGTACGGTGGAGACTTGGACGATAAGCAACCCAATTTACGACCATTCCAAGTGAGGAGCGGACCGCTAGCAGAAATTTGATATCGTTTGATGAGCTTTTGTTCAGTTAAAGAGTCGTCAGTGCATTTTTGTGTGCCTGTGTCTGTCACCTGTAGTGAATCCTAAACGACGAGCTCCATGTCGAAGCAGATTAACCTCGTTAACCAAGATTCCACTGTATGCATTTATTATCCAGTGGCATAGTAGGCGCGCTTACTTTAACATGCAATGGGATGAAAAAAAAACCTGCATGTAATTTTTTACGTTTGTCTTGCCGCTGACGTTAAGTGTCGTCTGAAAGCTAAAAGCGACCACATAGAGGGGACTAAAATACGATTACCGTGACACAAGTGTAATAGTGGATATGCGACCTGTATGTGCTCAAAATAGCACGCTTCCTGTCGATCTTGAAAAAATTTAAAAAAACGAAACCCTAAAATTTGCTGTTATATATCTATTCAGACCGAAAGGTCATTAATGTATTTCTGGATGATGGACTTTGCGAAAGCAAAAGTAACGCGGACAGCCTTGCGGAAGTCAGTCTCTACACTTCCGTTCATGTGTCAGAAAAAATTTGTGTTTTATACATTATGCGTTTGTCTGCGCTTTTGAGAGTTTAGATAAACATGCATTTTCCCTTTAAAGGTACTATACACAAATAATTAATCGTATCTAGCACAAAACAAATTAGCCAGAATTTTCATATGTAACACGGTGTCATTTCACCTGAGCGTAGCACATTATCGTATGTTGCCTTAACAATCTGACACGTAACGGAATTAAAATGTTATTTTATAATTGCTTTTTATCGGTGTCTTTAGTGGCATGTACGATCCCGCACTTGGGACGATTTACAATGCAATGTGGCTGGTAGCCGTCACCTTTCTTAGCATCGGCTATGGTGACGTCGTCGCGAATACCTACTGCGGTCGAGCTATATCCATTATCACCGGGGTGCTGGTAAGTTGCCTTAGATTCAAACTTTGAAACATATTGAGATGCAAACACCAGGATAAATCAAATGAGCGATTGCTAACCATATTTAATCCTTATCAATTTTAAGATCTGACTGCCGCCGAATTAGTTTGATTGGTCCCGCACGCTGTCAGTAGATGCTGAAAAACATGGACTTCACAAATTGAGGCAAATGTTCGCATTCCAGTAACGTGTATATTTTGAGAAGTCTTATCGAACACCGGAAACTGATTTTATTGGTCTGAGCTGTCGAGCTCCTGCAGGAGTCCATCATAAGATATGGGAAATCAGCAAAAAATGGGGTGGCTAGTTCTGGTGTATGTACAAAAAAACTAAAATTTGAAAGTGCATTAAATCAATAATTGTGTGGTTTGTCCGCCGACTCGCCACTGCGGACTATGTCAGTCTGTAATTGCGGGCAGATCGGCGTGTTGGGTGGAAATATTTACAGAAATAAAATCGTCAACGAAAACAAGCAACATTTATAGGAGAAAGGGCCAATTAGAAGTCATGGGAGAGGGGGAAAAAGGACCAATTAACCGCTAGTACCGTGAGTCTGGAGATACCTACGCAGGGCAACATATGCGGGCGCCAGCTCAATACATTGGTTAACTTAGTTGTCATCCGATGCCCAGGCTTCAACCAGTTCTCAGCCCGTCTTGCTGCCGGTGTGGGCAATTATCCTCGCGGCTGCGAAGTTGAACTCGTGACCCATCTCGTAGGTGTGGGCCGCCACTTGCGATAATGTGTAACCCCGTCGAACAGCCAGCTTATGTTCGTGTATGCGCGAACCCAGTATGCGTCCAGTCTGTCCCGTGTAATTTATGGGAGAGTTTAGGCACGGTGTGTGATACACTACGTCCGATAAGACATCTTTTTCTCAAGATGGACCTCACAGGCAACCCAGTGTGCGTGTATTTGCGCAGAGTTGCCGATAGGTGAATTGTGAGCCTTTATGACACTGCCACTCCGTGAGATCCAGGCCAGATGTAGTTGCATGCTTACGGGCGGCCTCGGCCCCGTCAGCCACCCGCACGCTCTCTCACTT